ATGGGGACTGAGCCTGGTGGCCGGGGCGTGGCGGCCCCGGCGCGACGCCTCGAGTGGCGGTTGTTTCAAGATGGCGGGTGCGGCGTGCCCCTCCCTGCCGGGCTCGGCGTTCTGGAGCCGCGACTGTATCCTTTGCCCCGCTGCCAGGGGGCGCCGCGCCGTCCGGGGTGGCGAGGGTGGGGGCGCGAGGCTTTCCTGGGCCAGAGAAGCTTGGCGCGCAAGCCCGACCAGGGACGGGCCTTTCCGCTCCGAGCTGGGTGTCCCCGCGCCTGCCTGGAGACGTGGTGTTGCTAGGTGGGAATTCTGGCTCGTGAGAAATCCGTCCTCCTCGTCTGTGGGTTTCACGAAGGTGGCCTTTAATGGGGACGCCTCGGGCAGGGCTGGAGAGGGGAATCATTGGCTGACGAGGGTACGAATGAGTTTGTGTGGTAGGGAAGGCAAGTGGGGGTGGACACACTTTGCTGGGTGGGCAGGGAGTCTTTTTCTCTTGATTTGGAGTTACCCTTAGTGTGCGCCACTGGGAGCAAATCAGGTGATTTTGTTTGCTTCTTGGACTAAGAAAGGCCTTTTAGTGATGCTGTGTTTTCTTTTGCGTCTTTAAGAGAGATGTAGGTTTCATGGGGCTGGATCTCCTGTTGCTAGTTAGGGGATGCATTAGGAAGTGCCTAGAAGCAGCGTTGACTTACTAGATTGTGCAACACCCTTGTTGGAAATTGAAGTTTGAGGATTGTTTTTGCTCAGGAAACTGGAGCTTTCTAGTCGCGCAAGTAGTTAGAATCCCCGGTTCAATAACTGATGAGATTTCAGGGGTTCATTTCTAGAATTAGATTAGCTCTTGCATCCTAAGCGTTCTCCTTGGTTATGTACTTCGTTGCTGGAGGGACATTAGTGGAGTGAACATGTAATCAGTATTCCCGAGTGCCCGAAAAGAAGCCAGTTGGCTTGCTAGGTGTGGCAATGACATTGTTTTAGGCATTACTGTTACTTTTGGCAGAATCATTCTGGACATTCTATTCGACATAGCTCCCAGTGAAACATAGAAAATTGTATTACCAGTTTCCTTTATTGAGTTACTTGGGTTAGAGTTTCGTGCATGCAGACAGGAATGCATTTGCGATCTGAGCTGCCAAGGGTTTAGTGTTGTTTTGTGCACTTACTAAACGGAATTACTGCTTGTCTCTGGTAGGTGGGCGAGGACCAAATAAAATTACGTCAGGTAATGTAAAAGAAATCATACCAGTATACTTTCAAAGCAATTTTTCCACTTATTAGAGTAGAGTTGAAAAGCAAATATGTGTATCAGGACCGCTGTGCTGAATTAGGAACTCAGGAAATTGGGATCAGGCTTGTCCTTTAAAAACATAAAGAGTTATTTCCTTATAACAGCTAATGGTATTTTTCTGATATACAATAGAGGAGATGACAGTCTGTTTCACTGGGACTAGAATGAACAGTGTGTGGTCCAAACCTTTGCTCTTGTTGTTAGCTGCCTTGTACTCATTTATGCAGTCGTAACACTCATCATTTCTTATAGAAGAAATAAAATATTCCCTACCATTTACATTTTCTCATGAGCTGAATAGTTAATGTAGAGCATTCACATCTATCCACTAATAATGAGAAATTGAAGTTGTATGGGAAAGTGTGATGGTAATTAGGTCCTATAGAAATTCAGATATAAGAAAGGAATTGCGAAGTTACTGATATTGATTTTTTCCTTAGCCTATTCCATCTAATAACCAATTAACACTCAGCATCTGATATTTTCATTCTAAATTTCCAAAGGCTTACAGCTGTGTTAAATGTACATTGTTGCTATTTGCTGAGAAATGTAATGATAAATATGAATCATTAGGTCTTTGGATCTTGATTTCTTCCTGACACATTGATGATTATTCCCCAGATCTCTCCAGAGTAAAATCCCACTTGGATAAAGTCAAATGGTATGCACCTATGATCTGGTATTCTTTTGCTTTGCTGAATAAAAGATTCTCAGTGCTTCACTTAAATGATTAAATAGATGTAATTGAGAGATTTCTCAATTCTGGAAGTTTTCATCATGAGAGAGCAAACAATCAGTGATTGATCATCATCTTTAAAGAAGTTGTTTGTATCTTCTGCATATTATGATTCAGTGGTGGTATTTGACACAAGGTATTGGCATCTAATGTGAGAATGCCACATTGCATTTGTGGATTAAATCTTCTGGTAAAACACAGGGTTTTTTGGTTGTGAATTTTACTCTTGTAGACCAGGCTGTCCTCAAACTCACAGAGATCCTCCTGTCTCTGCCTCCCAAGTGCTGGGATTAAAGGGGTATGCCACCACCACCCAGCTGATTGTGGATTTCTTTACTGTAAATGGAGACTGCTCTTTCGTTTCTGGCCGTCTAGACCCAAATAATCACACAGAAACTATATTAATTATAACACTGCTTGGCCAATCACTTAGATATATTCCTCGCTAACTCTTATAACTTAAGTTAACTCATTTCTATTAATCTGTATATTACCACCAGGCTGTGGCCTGTCTATAAGGTTTTGGCATTCTGGCATCTGTCTCCTTTGGCAGCTACATGGTGTCTCCCTGACTCCTTTTTTCTTTCTATATTGCTGTTTAGATTTACCATCTGGCTTTACTCTGCTAAGCCTTTGGCCAAAAAAGCTTTATTCATTAGCCAATAAAAGCAGCACATATACAGAAGAACATTCCACATCATCTTCTCTTTTCTAATTAAAAGGAAGGTTTTAACTTTAATATAGTAAAATTACATATAGCAAAACAATTATCAAGCAACAATTGCAGTTACAGTATTTCTTTATGAATCTAAAGTTTTATATCTAATTTATCTTTTATTATAACTAAGGAAAACTATAACCAGAACTATATGTCTTCAACTCTTCATAGACTCCAGAAGGATATAATATTACCTAAGTAAACAGGAAGTGCATTGTTAGCAACTTCCAAAGTTCTGGAAATGACAGAGACATTTTGTTACCTTGATAATCACCCACAGTTCTTCTGTAAAGTTAGGACATCCATCTTCAGCCTACAGGCCATTGTATCTGGCAAACTTTTCCATGAAGCAGAAAATTTGAAAGACTATTTCAACTACATTGGTAGTTTGTCAGTCATTTTCTCCTGTGTCCTGCAAAATGGCAGACTCTTTCATGAAACAGGAACCCTGAAGAACTGTCTCACTTTTAGGCAAGTTCAGCAATTATTTCTGTGGGTCCTGCATGTCCAGTTCATTTAGCATACTATCAAGCAGTCCAGGCAAGACTGCTAAATGCTATGGCTAGCATAGTCCATAAGGAAACTCTTCAATGTCCATCTTTCTCTTGAAGTTATTGATGCTGCCAGAAGCAGACATATCTCACTGTTGAGAAAAGTCTTAAGTTCTTGAAACATTTTAAATGCCATATTCTGTAGGTCTTTGAAGTGTTGAAGATTACCTATCTAATTTAAATATATTTATCTGGAAAACCTAACTACAAGTTTGACTATTATAAGTCACTATCATTAATCTTTATTTCTTAACTATATATTTTTAAATGAGCTGCACAAACACAATACCTTAAACAAGAGCAGAAATATACACACTGTAATAAATTGACCTTAAATCTATGTCAATAAACCAAGATCCATACCAATGCTAAATATTCATCTTTATATTGTATTCCCCCCTTTTTTGAGAAAGAGATTGACTGTGAGTACTTAGTCATTTAAAATCAACCCCTCTTAAATGAAAATAAACATTTACAAACAATCATTTTGTGAATTTGGGCATTGTTTTCTCCAAACTGCTTTCTGCTGTTTGTTGGGCGAAGTACTTTTATGGTTTATGGAGACCTTTCAGGGGTATTGTTTTATAGAACCACATTAGCCTGGAGGGAATGAATCCACAAGTTCTCATGTTCTGTGGATGTGTGGAAACAAAAGCAGAACTTCTTTTCCAAAGCAACATATCTTTAGACCCAAATTTTGAAGTCAAGATACTTTTAGGTTGATTTAACTTAACAGCTCCCAGAATCAAACATCTCTCTGCAGTCAAAATGTAAATAAAATGCAGTAATATACATAATCCAGACTCTTTGTGTGTTTTCCATCTTTTCATGACTTATTTTGTTTTACTCTGTTACCTTTTAATATTTAATTATCATTACTTCTTTAATCTATGATTTTCTGTACTCTTTCTTCTCTCCCATAAGCCTATGAACATTTATCCTACACTGTAACCATTTAGAAGTCTTTTTTTTGGTCTGAATCTGTTTTTATTGCATATCTGTAATCATTTTCTGACCATGAGTACTTTTTTTTTTTTTAATGCTACTCGGGCATGACTAGGACCAATTCCATGGCCCTGCCTGTTGGCTCTGCCCACTGTGGCAGAGTGATGAGGCATACTCATCACCCCAGCTTCAGAAACACAGCAGGTCTTTGTGACCATTATGCAATTTGTAACATGCTGCTCACAAACACCATTTAAGTGCAGGACCTCTCAAAAGCCAGTTCATGGCTGCCAACCCGAACCAGGAAGCTGGCTCTTAACAGGATTTTTGTTTTTTGGTTTTTTTTTATGCTGAGTCAGGAAGATTTCTTTTAATGGAGCCATGCCTTTGCTTGCTGCCAGCAAAGAGAGCCTATCTGAAAACAAACAAACAAAAAAATTGCAGGTACAAAGAAGCTGCAATTGATTCCCATTTTTGGGGTTCAATGCCTCAGGTGGTGCGGTACCATTTTGTAAACGGAGACTGCTCTTTCATTCCTGGCCATTCAGACCCGAAAAAATCACACAAAAACTATATTAATTATAACATGCTTGGACAATTGCTTAGGCATATTCCTGGCTAACTCTTATTTTGTAAATTAACCCATTTCTATTAATCTGTGCATTGCCACTAGTCTGAGACCTACCTGTAAGGTTTTGGCATTTTGGCATCTGTCTCTTTCAGCAACTTTGTGGCATCTCCCTGACTCTGCCACCTTCTCTCTCTATCTCTGTTCACATTTACTTAGCTTTACTCTGCTAAGCCCCTGGCTGAAAGAACTTTATCTGTTAGTGAATAAAAGCAATATAGACACAGAAGGACATCTATCATTTTACTAATCCATGTAGTTCATAGTAGTGTTAGAAGTGGATACTCTTTCTACAGTATCTAAATTCGATTACTAATGTGCACTTGCTGGATTGACAGACTTAATAACAATATAAGCAAAGTAAACTACAAAGGAGTGGCTCAAAACATTACAATAATTATCATCTCTATCACTGAGTTTTCAAATAAAAATAGATTGAGACTTTACATTGACGTAAGCCTAATTGACCTCAAAGCCTCTGTAGTAAATAATAATTACATATACCTGTGTTGGTGGCAAATGATGTATTATTCAAAACATTAGAGAACAGTAAGCAATACTTAGCTTGTTTATTTCACATACTTGTTCCTCTGTACCACTTCTGCCCTGACTTCCCATGACTACTTTCCTTCTGGGGATATAGGTAGATTGTTATCATCAACGAGAATATTTTGTAACTTGAAGAAATTCTTGTTTAATTACTTCTAACTAACGAAATAGAGAAATAAGCTGGCATGCAGATTCAATATATATTTGGTATACCCTTTGTTTGATCTTTCTAAAAAATATAGCTTTGTTAGGAGAGTTTATATAAGTTAAATATTTGAGTTCTTACTGAGACAATAGGCTGTTTTATGTTACTGGAAGAGACAACTTCCAATGCTATTTTTAAAAATGTTTGTTGGAATTAATATTAGAGTTGTTGGACTCATGCCTCATAAAAATAAGTATCAATTTTATTCCTTTTAGATGGCTTAGTAAATATTAGGTATTTTTTTGGTTTGGAAATGCATACAAAATTGAATATGCAGCATGAAAATCATCTATTTTGGTGTTAACATTTTAAAGAGATGGGCTAAGGCTATGAATAAATGAATTGCATGCATCTACTAATAGTAGATCCTTCAGAGAAAAATCAAGTAGGAAAAGACCAAGGAGGGATCACAGTTGGAGAGGATTGTGCAGTTTAAGTCCCTGTGTGGTTAGGCAATGAAGGCCTCAGCCAAAAAGTGATATATGGCCAAAGGCCTAAAGATAATGAGTAAGTATGAAGGCTTGGAGGAAAAGCTATGTTGCCAAAGAAGCCATAAGTGCACAAGCTCTAACATGGGAACTTTTGTAATCATTAACATATTCAGGGACGCTAGGAGTGAAGGGCAAGTGTATCAAGAAATGAGGAGAGAGATAGGGTGGAAGGATCAGTTCTTGAGCATTATAGATCTTGTACATACTGTTATAGACCTTGTACATACTGTTATAGACCTTGTACATACTGTTATAGACCTTGAACATACTTGGATATTTATTCTAAATAGGAATGACACAAGGTTTTAAAATGTTTATCCTGACCTCTGTTTAAAAAGTAGAATGTTGCCAGGCAGTGGTGGCTCACATCTTTAATCCCAGCTCTCAGGAGGCGGAGGCAGGTGAATCACTGTGAGTTCAAGATCAGCCAGAGTGGTCTACAAAGTAAGTTCCAGAACAGGTAGGACTATTTCGCAGAGAAACTCCGTCCCGAAAAAAACAAAACAAAGCAACCATCATCAACCACAAAACAGTAGAATGTTGAGGAGTTCTGTATGGAAATGAGAGAGCAATTTGGAGGCGATGGCTATAATCCTGGTGAGAGAAATGGTGATTTGGATTTATGTGCCATTGTTTGTCAGAAGTTGTTGGGCTGTAGGTATATGTTAAAGGTTAAAACAACAGAATTTCCCGAATGTGAGACAGGAAATAAAAGTCAAGAATAACTCCACATTTTGGGCAGCTAGGAGTGTGGGAAAGCCAATGGGGTAGCCTTTGAGGTGCAAGTAAGAGCTTCAGTAGTGGACTTAACTTAATCTGGTATCTTTTATGTATCTGTCAGTGTTAAATTTAGCAGATATGCTTGATTTAAAGATTAATTTGGTAGAAATCAACTTACTGATAGTTCTTAAAGACAGGAGAATCAAGTAAGATCATCAGTAGAATAAGGAAAGAAAAAACCCACTAAATTAGGGGCCCTGGGATCTGCAAAGTGACAAGGAATGGCTAGTCTAGGAGGAGTTGAAGGGAAAGGAGCAGGAATTGTTAGAAAAGCAGAGGAATTTATGAGTGTAGTATCTCACATTCAAATTTTAATGAGTGGTCATTTATATCAAATGCTACTGATAGATCAAATCCAAAGAAACTTACGAATTAATTGATAAGTTTACCAGTATGAGTTTTAGTCTAGTTTTATTGGATTGGTAGAATCAAAGCTTGATTGAATAGGTTCATGACTAATTAGGAGGGGAGGAATTGGAGACCATGGGATGTCTCTTCTGAGAAGTTTGGTTGTAAAGATGGAATGTAGTGCAGTTGTTGGAGGGGGTGTAGGGTTAAGGAATTTATTTTCCTTATTTCAAAAAAATTAAAGAAAAAATTAAAAGAGTAGTACATCTTTAGATGCAATAGGAATACTTAATAGAAAAAATATGATAGCTTAAACGGAAGGAGGATCAAAAACAGCAATATCCTTGCGAGAAAAGAGAAAAAGTAATTGTGTGTGTGTGTGTGTGTGTGTGTGTGTGTGTGTGTGTGTGTGTGTGTAAGGGCTCCTTTGCCTTTAGATCAGTGAGTGAACACTTCTTCTGTACAAGAAGGGAAAATTGGTAAGGTCTTTACAGTTTGTTTTCCTAAGGAATTAGGGAACTTTATTAGCTGAGAGTAAGAATGGTAGAAGTGTGTCAGGATTGAAGAAGGAAGAGAGAGGGAGAATGCTTGTTTGAGCTTCTGAAACTGAGTAGGCTCCCAGTTCTAGACTCAGGCTTTTCTCTTCCATTTGTGAGCAGGCTTTTTGTGAATGACCTAAAAAATACAATGTGTTTTCCAGGACATCTATGGAGAACACCCTGCATCTATCTTGTAATTAAAAGCACTGCTCTATGAAGCATGTTTAAACCATCGTCTTGAATTTTTTCTCCTATTTTTGTTTTTGTCAAGTACATTTCAAACATTACACATTTATCAAGTGCCCACTGTGTATAAAGTCTGTGTGTCAGAGTATAAAGTAAAAAAAAAAAAAATGGTTTCTGTTGCTCAGGAGACCATACCATGTCATTTCATAGAGCTGTTTGAGATTGGTTATTGGTGAAGTCAAAGTTGGCTTCTTTGGAACAGTAGTAATTCTAGTTCTCCAATACTGTCAGACCTCATCCACATTGTTTGATGAAATTGAAAATTTATGGGTGTTTATTATTCAGTAAACATCTTTCTGTAGGTATTTCTTTATGTGAGACAAGGTTTCATGTAGTGTAGGCTGGCTTTGATCTCTTAATCTTCTGCCATCTTCCCCAGAGTACTGGCATAATAGGTCTGTACCACCACCTAGCCAATCAACCCAAATCTCAGAGTTATGATAGCACATGTACTTGTGCTGTAGAAGAAACCACCCAGTAGCTCAAGCGTGACATCTGAGAGTTCCTGCTTTTCTGTTACTGTGGATGATAGATAGAACTCAGGGCCTATCTCATGCCAGGGAAGCCTTCTACAGTTCCAGTCCTCATCCAACTCACATCCCCACCCTCTCCTCCTTGGAGACAGGGTCTTAATTCAGACTGTCCTTAAACTCATTTTGTAGTCCAAGCAGGTCTTGGTTTCTACCTGCTCAGCCTCCCTAGTAGCTGGAATTATAGGCTTGCATCACCAAACCTATCATTTTGTTAGGCAATTCTGATAGTATCCCCTAGAAAAAGATTCCCTTGCTAGGATTGATACTGAGCTAAAATATGTATCTATTTACTTTATTATTAAATTATAATTTTATACATATACAGTGTGTATTTTGGTGCTTCTCCCATTTTCATTTCACTTCTCCTGCCCCCAACTCCTCCTCCCTATAAAATCTACTTCCCCTGTTCAATAGGTTGGGTTCTTTTAGTAGCCCATAGAGCATAATCTGGACCTTCTGTATGATCATGACTTTGGAACTAACCTTCATGTTGACCTTATGGATATGTCATGGAACCCACTACATCATTTTTTCACACAACTGTGGTTAATAACTGTTTTGTCTAGAAATCTTTAAAAATATTTTATAAACTAAAAAATTTGGAATTTTGTATATAGTGTGGATGGAAAATTGTTTATATGCTTCTTGCCTGGAATGTTATTAAATTGTTGGTTTATATAGATGTATCTGGATTTAGGCAGAGTTCCTAATAGGATCCTCTAGAAAGAAAGCTTTTTTTGTGGTGTTTCTTTTTCTCTAGCAAATGTATATATTTATAAACACATACATCTATACATATATGTATATATACATCTGTAGCAAATATATACATACACATACATTTGCATGCACATGAAAATATATGTACATATAATGTATATACATATTTGCTACAGGAAAAGAACTATCAGAAGAAAAGTTTATATATTTATATATATACATATATATATTTGCTATAGACCTTTTGAAATTCAAAATAGTTCTTTTTTTTTTGTTCTAAAAATTTTCCCATGTCTTCTATAGAAGGGCCTCTTGGGACATTTCCCGAATGTATTACAGAAGAATAAACATTGCCTTTGTGTTTGCATGATTGATTTGCCCTGAAACATTGTTTAATCTTCAAAGCTAATGCCTGTCTTGGAATTATTTATTCTCTCTGCCTAAAATAACTGTCAGCTCCTCCATGGTGCTTAACTCTTTCTTTCATAAAAAGAAAGCAACATAATAGCAAAACATGTATCCCAAAAGTATGCTATTTGGGAATAGGTGTGAAGGAATGATGCATGAACCATGGCTTCCAGTGTCTTCTCTACACATAAGATTATGACTATCTAAAGTTAAGTAAGTTATAAATTCTCAGCTCAAAATAGGTGAATATTTATTACAGATATGCATGGATATTTCATGATGTTTTATAGTATTTTCCTTCATGTTCTCCTCCCTAGTTTCTGATGAAGAACAATCAGTAGTTTATGTACCAGGTATGACATCTACGTTAAAGTTCTTGAAACTTCCGCTGTTTCTTACGTGTTAGGAGAAAATTAAATATTGGGACAACCTTGTATGTGCAATTGGATATGAAACAATTCATTTTCTACATAATGAAAGAACAAATATTTGTGAAACTTTGACTATATCCTCTTAAGATTTGAAATATTGGTTCTTAGGGTCTGGCTGGGAAAGTCAGCATTTATGGTTTATACAATGTGTAATTTATTAAAGAAAAGAGATTCTTTTTGAAAATTTACATCTCATATCTTAAAAGAAAATATGAAAAGTTGATCTAGATTAAATACAAGTCTTTATGCTTACTGATTGTTCAATTGGATGAGTAGTCAAGCAGAATCATTGAAGGTACTCAGGGTAAAAACCAACTGTTTCTTGATGTCCCATGTCATCTCAATATGTTGTAACTTATCACTTTTAATGTGATCTAGAAATCTTTACACCACCTAACTGAATTATCCCATTTTCTATGTTACTTTTTTGTGATTATGTGCACACAAGCATACACACACACACACACACACACACACACACACACACACTTTAAATTGAAATTTATAAATTTTTTCTCATCAGGTTCCATAAAGTACATGATACCAAGAGAGGGTTACTGGGGAATATGGGGAAGCTGAAAAGATTAAGATCAAATCTGAAGTCTTGTTTAATGAACATTCTTAGGAATATCTACAGAAGGAAATACAAGATCAAGACTCAAGTTGATAAATCCAAAAGTTGATGTTAAAGTTAAGGCTTCCAGGGTGACTGATGCTTCCATGGAGTCTTTAAAAGGTGCGGGAGATTCGATAGCTGAACAGGTCAGTAATCTTATTTTTCTGTATGTGCGTGTGTGTGTGTGTGTGTACACGTGTGCATGAGTTGGGGTGGGTGGTAGTGGTGGGTGTGAACATGTGTACATATGTGTGTGCATGTGTGAAAGCCAAAGTTAGGTATCTTCCTCATCCTCTACTCCTCTAACACTCTACTTTGTTGGTTTTTTGCGGGTGGAGTGGGGTGGGGTGGAATGGGGTTGTCTTTTGTTTATAGCACAGGTCTCTTACTGAACCCAGAGCTCGCCATGGTCAGTCTCCATCCTTTACAACCCCTCTAGTTGCAAAGTTACAGGCAAGTGCTACTCTGTCCTCATTTGAACTCAGATGCTCATGCTCGAGATCCAGACACTTTACTGTCTCAGCTGTCTCCTAAGCTTCTTGGGTTTTATACATACTGCTCAATAAGACACAAAGACCTTTAAAAGACGGCCTGTTTGTATCTGTAGAAGACACAAACCTTTTGTGGCCCTTGATAGTGCTAAGTATCAACATAAAGCATCTGGACTTCTTGAGAGTTTTGCTCTAAAATGTATAGATGTGCTCTAAGCCTTAGCTAAGAAAATGTATTATCTTACTGTGTCTCAAAAGGTTTAAATTTTCCTTGTTCCCCTTTTCTGGAATTCATGAGTAAGTCAAATTCACTATTTTTCTGGTTAGGTATTGTTTATGTTTTTATTTCTCAAAATTTATTAGTTGATTTATGATACTTTCATATTAGAATGAAGCTTATATGAGGAAAATCAGTCTGCATTTTTATGACTTTGACTTAGAAAATAATGTCATTGAAATTTTTTAGAGTTTGTTTTGTTCTGTATTTTAGAATAACAAAACTAAACATTTTTGGTTTGTTTTGAACCAGTGCCTCAAATATATGAATTAGGCTTTGAATTTGCTGTGTAACTGAGTCTGACCTTGAGCTCATGATTTCCTTTCCTCTGACCCCCAAATACTGGGATTGCAGAAAAACTCTTGATGTATTAAAGATTTATTTTATTTTATGTGTGTGAGTGTTTTGCCTGCACATATGTGTGTCTAGTACCAAAGGAGGCCAGAAGAGGACATGGGATCCATTGGAACTGGAGTTACAGATGGTTGTGAGCCATCTTGTGTGTGGTGGGAATTGACCCCAGGTCTTCTGCAAGAACATCAAGCATTCTTAACCTTTGACCATCTCTCCAGCCCCTCTTTCTTTATTATTCTTTTATTTTTGTCATCTTTTTTGCATATATATGTGTTGTGCCTATCCATGTATTCATATTTGTTTGTATGAAGGCCTGAACTTGACACCAAGTTTCTTCCTCAGTTCCTCTCTACTTCGTTTTTGAGGCAGGATATCACGTTGATATCCAGTGGCTAGTCTAGTTTTCTCAAGGAATCCTCTGTCTTTGCTTTCCAACTGCTGGGAATCGAGGTGGCCACCATTGCCTGCCTAGTTTTATGTGACTTGAGGGATCCTGACTTTTACAGTGCTAACATTCCTTGTCCACTGAACTACCTCCCTGCCAACAGTTCTTGCTTTTTATAGGCCATTGACTAGTTTTGCCCTTTTCATTGTCTTCATAATGGTATCTGCACATTCCTTTGGCGTATGTCTTTTTCCATTTGTTTTAACTGCTGTATTTCAAATGAAATTCACTTTATTTATTGTAATGCTATAACTATTGTTAAATTTTCTTCCCTCAATCAAAGTTTGACATTAGTGTTTATAATCTTGGTTTATGGGCAGAATCTTCTTTCTGCTTATGGTGTGTGATATTTTCTGGGGTGGGGGTGTGTGTGGAGAAACTGTTCAATCTGCTGTCTATCCCATATAAGACAAGGACAACAGACTCAATCTGGCTTGGTGAATCAGTGAGTTTACTGGGATGACTTACAAGAGCATGCAAAACTCCAAGGCAGCTACATCACCAAAATGTACTCCACTATGGGTGACAACTCAGAACAGTTATGCCCTGCAGGTCCCTCCTCAACTTGTAGGCAGCAACTCTCTCCTCAGAAACTGTGTCCTGCTCTTAGAACTTTGTGAGGTGCACTTTCTGAGCCTTGGAAGACGTAAGCTTCTTTAGTCCCTCAAAAATAGTGCTTCATTTTGAAGGAAGCAGCTATACAACAGCTTGTTTTGTAAATGCTTTTTTTTTTTAATCCCTGGGTAGGCTTATGCTTTGAGGTATTGTCTATGACTGCTTTTGTAGAATCACAAAAGTGGCTGTAGTGGCTATTACCACCAAAAGCCCAAAATAACCCAAACATTTACTGTCAGACTAGCTGCAGGAAGTGTTTTACAATTCCTAATGTACAATCATTTTTGATATGTATTACTAATGATTGTCTGGCAGTGAACAGGATTTGGTGGTGAACGATGTGTCTTTTCAGATGGCTTTAGGAATAGAAATGGTGCATTGCGGTGTTTCTGCTGTTGGTTGATGCTGGTATGAGCACTGCAGTGCACCCAGAAAGGCATAAATGAAAGCCATTAGCTAGTTACGCTTCTTTCAGCTGTCATATTGTTTCATTTGCACAGTTTCCAGTTTTATTCTGAAGCTGTGTTTAAACACTCTGACCAAAAGCAACGTGGGGAAGAAATGGTTTATTTAGCACATAGTTCCAGGTCATAGTCCAAAAAAAAAAAGGGAAAACAGAACAGGAAGTTAAGCAGAAACTTCAAGCAGAGTCTATGGAGGAATGCCACTCACTTACTTGGCTCTTTGACTTACAGACCAAAATAATCTATTTCAATTACACAACTTTACCCCCATGGCATGAAAATAATCTTAGGGACTCTGTAAATGATTTACTTGGTGGGTTTTTGTTTTTTTTTTTTTAAATAAATTTTCATTTACAAACATATAGTAAACTAATTTTGTCTTTCAGGTGTAGTTTTCAGAACCCTGTCCTAAATAAAACAATATATTTTGATTTTTCAGCAATGTTTGGTTTTATATGTTTGTAACTTTATATAAACACCCATACAATATCTATTATAGAATTAAGTGTTTTGCTTTTCCGTCTATTCATGAGAATTCTTGATGCCATATATGGAACTTTTAAACTTCTCTTACTGATGTAAACTTTCGTTTACTAACATGTCACCTCTTGTTCAGTAATTTTAACTGAGAGACTTAACTGGAGAAATGGCCAGCGTTTCAGAGCACTGGCTGCTACTTCAGAGGTCCCAGTTTCAAATCTCAGCCTGTAACTATGTATAGCACCAAGAATTCTGTGTTGACTAGGATTCCCCATTGACGCCCTGAATTTCATGGGTTTAAAGACTCCTCTAACGTTGTTACAGTACTGGAGAAAACCCACTCTACTACAAAAAACACAGTCGCATTGTTATATGAAGGGTTGCTTGTTGGTTTCTAGCTGCCCAGCCACAAAATAACCATTCAGAAAACCATATTATTTGCAATACTGTTTGGCCAATAGCTTAAGCATATTTCTGGATAAAATCATATCCTAAACTAACCCATTTCTATTATTCTGTATATCACCACATGGCTGTGGCTTACCTGGTAAAGTTTTCAGCATCTGTCTCAGGCAGAGGACTCATGGCTTCTACCTAACTCCACCTTCCTCCTCAGATGCTATAGGCCAAGCGAGTTCTTTATTCATTAACCAATAGAAGCAACACATAGACAGAAGGACTTCCCACATTGTAGCATGGTGCTTAAGACCACAGCCCATCTTTGCACTCCATTCTGTTATGTGGCTGTTATAACCTTGGCCAATCTGGAACTAAAACAATGCCTGCCTAATTGCACTGCTATGAAAATAAGATGGAGTAACAGGTAAGACGTACTTATCGCATTCTTAGCATGTGATAAACACTAGCGGTAAATTCCAAGTCTCCTTAGCTCTGTCCCTTCCAAATTCTGATTTTTTTTTAAAGATCTACAGCTACTGTCTCCTAGAATGCCTTCATGTCTTTAAACAGTCTTGGCTACAGTGTCAGATATTCTCAGTGTCTTCCAATGTCATCTGAGCATTCTTTCTCAGAAAGTACTTAACAGTTGTTTTTAGTAAAAAAAAAAAGCTAACAAGATGTTTTATTCTAGAATTTCTGCAAGGAAGGAATGAAGAGTGCATCACTGAAAGATTTATGCCTTGAAGACAAAAGACGCATTGCCAACTTAATTAAAGAACTGGCCAGGTGAGACAAAATCTTATATGAGATGCATCTATAGATGAGACAGCTCATTTTAAGAGTAGAGTATTGCTAATACATTTGATGTCTGTGGTGGTTTCAATAAGATCATAGATTGAAATGCTTGGTCACCAGGGAGTGACATTGTTTGAAGGGATTAGGAGGTGTGGCCTTGTTGGAGAAAGAGTGTCACTGGAGCTGGACTTTGGTGTTTCAGAAGTTCAAGCCAGATCTGGAGGCTGTCTCTCTTCCTCCTGCCTGCAGATCTGGATGTGGAACTCTCAGCTCTTTCTCGAGTACCATGTCTGCCTATGTGCTGTCATGCTGAGAATGGACTATACTTCTGAAACTATAAGTGAGCCCTAATTAAATGTTTTCCTTTTTTATGTTAATAATATAAATCATATATTTAGCCATATCTGATTATCTAAATACAGCCTGTTCAGTTTGTATACCCTTACACATATGTATGTTTTCAGGACATTTGATATTGGATAACCAATTGTTGTGCTCTTTCTGTGGTAAGATTATTTCTCCCCTTTCAGATTTCCTTAGCTGCCTCTTAGGCTTTTTTAAAAAAATTTTTTTAATTAAAAATTTCTACCTCCTTCCCTCCTCCCATTTCCCTCCCACTCCCACCACTCCCCTCTTCCCCCCACCTTCTCTAGTCCTAAGAGAAGTCAGGGTGCCCTGCCCTGTGGGAAGTCCAAGGCCCTCCCACTTCTATCCAGGTCTAGGAAGGTGAGCATCCAAACAGACTAGGCTCCCACAAAGCCAGTCCATGCAGGAGAATCAAAGCCCAATGCCATTGTCCTTGGCTTCTCAGTCAGCCCTCATTGTCAGACACATTCAGAGAATCCAGTCTGATCACATGCTCATTCAGTCCCAGTCCAGCTGGCCTTGGTGAGCTCCCATTAGATCAGTCCCACCGTCTCAGTGGGTGGACGCACCCCTCACGGTCCTGACTTCATTGCTCATGTTCTCCCTCCATCTGCTCTTCATTTGGACCTTGGGAGCTCAGTCCAGTGCTCCATTGAGGGTCTCTGTCTCTGTCTCCATCCATCACCAGATGAAGGCTCTATGGTGATAATGCAAATATTCATCAGTGTGGCTATGGGACAAGGCCAGTTCAGATACCCTCTCCTCTGCTGCCCAAGGACCTAGCTTGGGACGTCCCTTTGACACCTGGGAACCCCTCTAGACAGAGCCAAGTCTTTTGCCAACCCTAAAATGGCTCCCTTGATTAAGATATCTTCTTCCCTGCTCCCATATCCACCCTTCCTCCATCTCAACCATCCCATTCCCCCAAGCTCTCCCCAATCCTCTCCTTTTCCCTTCTCTCTCCCCATCTCTCCGTACCCCCACCCTACCCCAACCCTCGTACTCCCAACTTTTGCCTGGCGATCTTGTCTACTTCCAATATCCAGGAGAATAACTATATGTTTTTCTTTAGGTTTACCTTCTTATTTAGCTTCTTCAGGATCACAAACTATAGGCTCAATGTCCTTTGTTTATGGCTAGAATCCAATAATGAGTGAGTACATACCATATTCATATTTTTGGATCTGGGTTATCTCACTCAGGGTAGTGTTTTCTACTTCCATCCATTTGCATGCAAAATTCAAGATTTCATTGTTTTTTTACTGCTGGGTAAGTACTCTAATGTGTAGATGTTCCACACTTTCTTTATCCATTCTTCCATTGAGGGGCATCTTGGTTGTTTCCAGGTTCTGGCTATTACAAATAATGCTGGTATGAACATAGCTGAACAAATGCTTTTGTAGTATGATTGGGCATCTCTTGGGTATATTCCCAAGAGTGGAATCGCTGGATCCTGAGGTAGGTTGACTCCCAGTTTCCTGAGAAACCGCCACACTGATTGTGTGTGTTGCACAAGTTTGCATTCCCACCAACAATGGATGAGTGTTCCCCTACTCCACATCCTCTCCAGCATAGCTTATCATTGGTGTTTTTTATTGTAGCCATTCTGACAAGTGTAAGATGGTATCTCAAAGTTGTTTTGATTTGCATTTCCCTGATTGCTAAGGAAGTTGAACATGACCTTTAGTATCTTTTGGGTTATTCAAAATTTTAATGTCTAGTTTCTTGAGTTCTTTATATATTTTGGAGATCAGACCTTTGTCTGATGCGGGGTTGGTGAAGATCTTCTCCCATTCAATAGGTTGCCTTTTTGTCTTAATGACAGTGTCCTTTGCTTTACAGAAGCTTCTCAGTTTTAGGAGGTCCCATTTATTAATTGTTGCTCTCAGTGTTTGTGCTACTGGGGTTATACGTAGGAAGTGGTCTCCTGTGCCCATGTGTTGTAGACTACTTCCCACTTTCTCTTCTGTCAGGTTCAGTGTGGTCAGATTTATATTGAGGTCTATTTTTTATTTTTTTTATTAAAAATTTCCACCTCCTCCTCTCCTCCCACTTCACTCCCTTCCTCTCCCCTCCTCCCACTTCCTCTCCCCCTCCTTCTCCAGGCCAAAGAGCAGTCAGGGTTCCCTACTCTATGTGAAGTCCAAGGTCCTCCCCGCTCCCCCCAGGTTCAGGAAGGTGAGCATCCAAACAGACAAGGCTCCCACATAGCCCGTCCATGCAGTAGAATCAAAGCCCAGCCCCATTGCCCTTGGCTTCTCAGTCAGCCTCCATCATCAGCCACCTTCAGAGAGTCCGGTTTGATCACATGCTCCATCAGTCCCATTCCAACTGGCCTTGGTGATCTCCCATTAGATCTGTTTCACTGTCTCAGTGGGTAGAAGCACCCCTCGCGATCCTGACTTCCTTGCTCATATTCTCCCTCCTTCTGCTCCTCATTAGGACCTTGGGAGCTCAGCCAGTGCTCCAATGTGGGTCTCTGTCTCTATCTCCATCCATCACCAGATGAAGGTTCTTTGATGATAAGCAAGATATTCATCAGTGTGACTATAGGACAAGGCCAGTTCAGGCACCCTTTCCTCTGCTGCTCAAGGAACGAGCTGGGGCATCTCCTTGGACATATATTGAGGTTTTTAATCCATGTGTGACTGACTTTCTCCCCACAATGTTCTTCTTACCTGCTTGAGTCTCTACCTCCTACTAGACTTCTGTGTAGATACTCTTTTATATCTCTCTGGGTTCTGGGCCCCTGCTCTGAGCAACTCCTCTGTGCAGATGTCATCATTATATTCAGATTCTGATTATCCCCAATCCTGCTCAGTATTCAAGAAGAAAATACAAAGTAAAATGAAGAGAGAGGAAATGAAAGCTCAAATTTCATTCTGAAGAGAAAAAAATTGTGTTCTTTATAAAAAAGATGTGTAAATATAGTTGCTTATTATAAAACTTTGCTTTACAAATCACATCATATAAAATAATACAAAATCTGCTGCTTTTGTGCTTAGCTTGCCTTGTGTAATATATCATTTTTAAAATGAATAGACTCATTTTTGATTTAATAGAAAATAATGATGTTTTAATAGGAAATGGTTAGACTGTAGTTTTAAAAGTTACCTTAATTCATATCTTTTTAAGAAAAAAAATAGCCATAAGAGATTGTTTGTACCTTGTATAAGGTCAAATCAAATGGAGACAAGTGCCAAAAGCATTAAGAAAATGACATATTTCTGTGACGTATTTGAATACACCTGCTTATGCTTTGGCTTAGATGCAAAGCTGTTGGTATTGTTTAAGGAGTCACATCACTGAGATTGGCTGGCACCTACCACTCAGAGGGATATAGCATTCAGTAGCTCTCAGCAAGCCTACAGAACAAGAAGTGTCATTTGTTTTCCTTTTTTCAGTTGTAGATTAATATATAAATGCATAATGTTTACTTATTTTTCAAATATTACTTTTGATGTTTAAAGCATCTTTATTAGAACTATTTCCAAGCCCTGCATTTCTCCCTTTTTTGAAATATGGTCATGACTTTGGTAATGTGATGTGGGAAAACATATTTGTATCTTGGACAGGTCCTCATACAGGCTCTGTATGTGAACCTCCTGTTTAATATCTGTACTGATGCTATGGAACAAGGGGTCAGAAAGACACCTCTCAGCTCCACAGAAAAATGAAATCTCAATATGAAAGAAAATGGATTAACTTAGAATGTATAATATTAAAGTCACCTAACCTCATATGTAGATTCTAGCCTATAATATGTACATGTGTTCAAATGTAACTGTGAATCTTGTATATATTTAGAAAGCAGAAAGGAAGGGAGAGATATTCGGTAATGACAAAGGATAGAGTGCAAGTAAAAGACATGAATTGTGAGAGAGAATATGATTGTTTCCTAATTTTAACACTGTAATGCATTTTTTTATTTTTGTGTTAGATAAGAGCATAAAAATGTAATTGATGGTAAAAGTATAAAATCCAAGGCAGAGGGGCCTGGAGAGATGGCTCAGCGGTAAAGAGCATTGCCTGCTCTTTCAAAGGTCCTGAGTTCAATTCCCAGCAACCACATGGTGGCTCACAACCATCTGTAATGATGTCTGGTGCCCTCTTCTGGCCTGCAGGCATGCACACAGATAGAATACTGTATACATAATAAATAAATAAATCCAAGGCAGAGCTCCACAGCTTCAGAAAGGCTTTTCCAGCTGTGCGGTCACGGAGACATATAGACATGGGTTTGGTCAAATACTTGTTTGAATACTTGTAGCTGGATCATGTTTATTATTTTCAAGTTCTTTGCACTAATGTGAAATTTAACTAAAAATATAAAAAGGAAAGATGCCTGTAAGATGTATTAGTAGTTTTAATTGGAAATATATATTTGAATAAAAGATATAAAATAAAATTTATCATTGGCATAATAGGCTAGAAAAATGAATTCATTCAAATAAAGGACAATAGTGCTGATAAGAGCTTATGACATGCATAGAATATTAAAGGTCAAACCATCGAGACATATGCATTTAATCTTGGCACTCGGGAGGCAGGTGTAGACAGAACTCTGAGTTCAAGGCCAGCCTGGTCTACAAAGTGAGACCCTGTGTGTAAAAGAAATTAAAACA